ATTTCGGGTAACCATTCACTATCCAAATTTCTGGATTCTTGGTTTTTTATTTTGCTATTTTCATTGTTGAAGTAGGATCAAACGACTGTTAATTTCTATGCGAAAAAAAGTGTATTTGGTTTACAGTTCGTGTTTTTTGTCTGTTTTGAAATTTCAAAGCAAAATGTGGTTTTTTGGTGTGATGCATTTTTAAGACAAGTGAAATCATGAAATAGTGCACCGTCGATCAATTTTTGCATTTTGGTTACTACATTTTTGAGGGGTTAGCATTTTTGCGTTCCGATCACTTTGCGTCTTAATTGCGTTCTGCCTGTGTTTTTTTATTTCTTAGTTAAAATTACTTTTTATACACAGACCTCTGTGATGCGTTATAGGTGTTTATGGAATTTTTTGTTGTAACAGGAGATCGGGGGAAAGTCATTGCAATTTTTTAGTGAATTATACCTAAATTTTCAATGATTTGGTTTATGGACGAACGGTTTTGGCTTCCAGATGGCATTAAATGGAGTATGTTACAGCCAAATGGAACTGCACGGTATCCTCAGCCCAGTGATCTCAAACAAACTATTAAGTCAGCTTTATTTTGTTTTTCCATTTTTGAATTTCTTCATTCTGTAATGAGTTTATTACTCTACTTAAAGGCTTTGTGTTTATCTGTAATTCAATTTAGATTTGGTGTAGTTTTGTTGTTTATTCGAATATTTATGGAATGTTTTGTATTCTTGCCGATTGGTAAATATTTTGGGTGGATAGATGCTCCAGATGGATTGACTCGACGAATAGTGTCTCATATGAACTTTGGGTTCGCTGGTAAGAGCAAGTATAAAAGAGTGGCAGAAACTGCTTGGCGATTCACCTATTATGTTTTTGCCTGGACCTTCGGTATAATTATTAACAGCATTCTGTAACGCTTTTCAAAATTGAACGCTAGAGTATAGGTGTTTTTACAGTTTTATTCTTTTTCTTAGGGGTTTCGAAACCTTTACTTACCCTTCTTTTCTCCATGATTTTTTTAAGTGGTTATTTTTTTTCTGTTTATGGACTGGATGCTCGCAAATACCGTTCACCATGAAGTTGTTTTTCTATTCATTTTAGGTTTGGTTGTCTTGAAGGACCAGCCTCAATTACGGGATATTTCTGAGAGTTGGAGAAACTGGCCGTACCATGAATTAACAGATGGGATCTGGTGGTATTATATTATTGAAACATCGTTCTACTGGTCTCTACTGTTTAGGTATTCCCTGAGTATATCGATTTGCATCGTCGTTTTTTCAGGAAACTTTTGCTGTAACGGAGAGATGCATTTAACCACATGTAAACAGTTTTAGGAATTATTTATTGAGATTTTGATTTTTGTTTTCTTTATTTAGTTCTCTTGCTTTTGACATTCGACGTGCAGATTTTCTACAACTAACTGTTCATCATAGTATAACTATACTGCTATTGTCAATGAGTTACACTATAAATATGGTTCGCATTGGAGCCTTGGTTCTGTTCAGCCATGATATTGCAGATGTTTTAATGTAAGTTTTCTTTTCTTTGTAACATACAGCGATTATAGGAAAGTTATTTAATTCTGAGTTTTTTAAAGTACCTTGAACTTTCATAATTTTTTAGAGAGTTAGGGAAGTTGCTTCGATATGCAAGGTGGGATACTGCGCTTAAGGTTGTCTACGTTGTTTTTATGTTTGTCTGGACTCTGACACGATTGATATATTTTCCCTTTTGGATTATCTGGTCTGTGTGGTATGATGCTCCCGCCATGATACAGGTTAATCTTTAGCTTGTCTTTTATTGATTGAGAAAGGTAGTTTTTTTAATGGATTTTATAAAGTGGTAGACTGTAAATTTTTTTGATTCTAGAAGACTTATGACTGGTGGAGTTTGTCACAACAACCTATTGTCCCGCGTGTGATTGTTGTAATGTTGCTTTGCTTACTTGTTTTACACGTCTTCTGGACGTACACTATAATTATGGTTGGGGTGAAATCCGCTGAGAGCGGTAAACTCGATGACATTCGAGAAATTGATGATGGTTCAGATTCAACTGCAGAATACATTAAAGAAAACGGGTGTTATGGGAAGGTCGAGGAGTATAGGAAGAAACAGCTGTAAAGGAGTCGTACTTAACGCCTTTGAGGCATTCTTGTTTTAACTTTTTTTGTTTGATAATTAACTCAGATATATATATATATATATATATATATATATATA